AAACGATTAACAATGAAAACAGGCTGGGGAAAATACTTTAAAAGACCAAAAAAAAAACATTTGTTCAAAGAAGTTGCAATAAGTCACATAATTTTACAATAACAAATAGTTAAACAATCTATTAATTTTTTTCTTTTCACTTCCCTTTAAAATTTCTTCAAACTCCAAATATGTTTTTCACAATCATATCTAATATTGTAAACTGCGAAGGGTGACTGGAATATATTCCGGAGAACAGTTTCGCTACATGTTCTCAAAATGGTGATGTTTTGAGAATTGAGATGTATTTTCAAAAATGATATAGACGCCTCATTAAATTTTATTTTCATTCTGCCATGCAGTTCATGCACGCACGTCAAACAGCACATATAACACTATAGATTCAGCTACACTCGTGTTTCTAATAAAATGCCGGTATGTATTCGAATATCACTATGTTCATTGCTGTTTGATGATGTTTGTGACTTACTCTGGCAGACGGTGAGTTTTCTGTGTGCTACTTCTATATCCAACATCATTCTTTGCGGGAATCTCCTCCGAAAGACTTCTATTTGGCGCGCTCTCCTAGGACAGAACGAAGCACAAAAGACATCTCGGAACTGTTGATGATAGCACATATAAATTGGAAAATTTACACCTGCATTTAAGAAGCGAAGTGACATAAATATGTTCTTAAGAACACATAGCGTGTTATTTGGTTTGGATATGGCCATGGCGCTTAACACCGAAGTTAGAGGCGTGGATATTACGAAGGACGCCAGACAGTTAAGGGCAACGATGGATGTTATTGCGCCTTGCGACCGGCATTTACCGTGATAACGCAATCGTTGTCGATGAAGCTCCTTTTTCTTTTGCTTCAACTTACATAACATGTAAACGCTGACGATGGCTTGCAGCGTAAGTGAGAGAGAAACGAATACGGTGTCGCAAATGAAAGAGTACGTGCTTCCAAATGAAGACTTCAAGACAGAAACCAAAACATATTTTCCCACTGCTAAGGATGCGATGACTGTGATAAGGACTAGCATGCCGCAAATGGTATACTTTCGCAACTGGTGCTTAAGGCGCAAAAACTTAAATGGACTGACCATGGACATAAAACGAATCAGGCACAACCCAGCCAGTAAACTGACGGACAAGAAAAATAGAGAACGAGCGATGAGAAATAAAAAGAACATCTCTCTCCTCCTTTTGCCTCCGAGCAACACAATAAGGTGTAAAATCTGGAACGGTAATTTTGCAACATTTGAGGCAAGGTCCGACAGTGATAATCCTAAAAGAAGAGGTAACACGTAACCACTCTTCTTATTTCTAATCCTACTCCATATGACTATATTGCAAATATTGGAAATGATCCCCCAGATGCATACAATGAAATCAAACGGTTCCAATAGATACCACCAGTATGGCGAAATGGCGCAGCGGGGGGAAAATCCTAGTTTGCGTACCCCGATTGGTTCTTGGCAGATGCTAGTGTTTGCAAAAACCGTGATGTTATCCAAAACCGCATCATCATCAACTCCTGAACTGTTCCATATGCCAAAGGGCCAAAATCCCTCTGTCTTAAGACTGCCCATAGCTGTAGTTCACAGAAATACGTTTTTACTCAACACTAAATCCATACATAAGCCAGCTTAAGATATGCATTCTATTATTTGAATTATCGGACCAGCGTCTTGTTAAAATGGTTTGATTTTGCTTGATTTCTAAATTTGTTTTTTTTTTTCAGATATTTTATCAATTGCATCCCATCTATCTTCTCATTCCGCTGTGTCTTTGTATCCTTGTACTGCACGGATGCCTTGGTCCAAATATTTGTTTTTTCAACGTCTGCATTGTCCTCCGGAGAATATCACCACATTTCTAATTCACAGAGATATCGCAAGACGCAAACCGTCAACATTCGTCAGAAATTAAAGCTAACAGACCATAAGCGGATTGAACTCGTGATGAAGTAAAAACTACATCAAAAATTTGTGCCAATATCAAGCCGTGACTTCGAACTGAGTGGCTGCGGCATTACACCGTTTGGTAATCTTCACTGATCTGAAACCCAATTGCCAGTACATAGGTATGGCTTCAGGCTATACGCCATCCACGTTAATACGTCGACATTACACTATATCTACAGCTATATGATCATATTAAAAGCCCAAACCTCACAGTATGACCAAGAAACATGAAGATGGAACAAAGCTTAAGAGGTCAATCAGCTGTTACAAAACCCATCTTAGTTACGATAAAAATAATACTGAATATCTGTCACATCAAGAGGGATATGGTGACACTTGTAGGCTAAATACAATATCAAAAACAAACAAAAGAGCTAGGTGTCGTCTGACCACCATGTATCCAAGAAACGCAACTGTTGCTATGCCACCCAAATATTTTACAAGACATAACAGCGAGAAAATAAGACCTCATTCAGATATACACCATCAGTCCACACAAGTGGATCTAACTTTGCAGGGACTCTTGCTGAATGCAATCAGTTTAACTGAATGACACGCTGCTTCTTGTTTTCAACGTGCTCGTATAATCACCAGCTTTCTGTAACATAACACCAGGAGGAAGGGTGTCCTTCTGTTCATCTGATTGCTCTCAGCGAGAGTCCCCGCAGAGTTGAATTGATATAAGCAGGCCCATATTAGTGTCCTTGAGAATGGGTCCAAGGAGCAATTAAATATAATGATGCCAAATAAGGATGTTGTTGCGTGTCAAAACAACGAAAATTGACGTGTTACATACAATCTACATGTAATTTACACATCGGGAAGCTATTAATTGTATACGTGTACATGTATTTAACACGTGAACATATATAATACTGTAAATGCCTTTTTTTACCCCCTTACTTGTTAATGTTTCATAATACGGATTTTCGTCTTTGAAAAAATACCTTGAAGTAATAAATCCACACAAAATTATCTAGAGAAAATGGCCTTCAAACAGCAATGAAAAGGAAACAGAACATAATGTTTTATAATATCTTAGGTTGAAAAAGGAGTTCACATTTAGTGGCCAGAGCCTCACAAACAAGTTGTTTTGTGTAGTTTCTCTCAGTTTACCTGCAAAATATTTTAACCATTATCATGATGTAAGTTAGAATAAACCATTATGTACCAAAAGAAGTCAAAAAACCACAATGTTTATTTATTAGATATTGGTTGAAAGCATACACTAAAGGGCGTAATATTATAAAGCACTGTTAGCAATTCATGTTACTGTTGAAACACAGATACAGCAGCAGTAGCCTACACTTACTGTACAGATACTGGCATTGGTGGTAGCTTCCAAAGGTATTATTTACAGGTAACATATTGAAAAAATATATAAAAACACATACAACTGCAGTGCTCTTATGTCAGCCTCTGTAAATATCTGAAATCAGATGTCATCTCTGTTCGTCATTTGCATGTACTCTGTTATCTTTGCATGCAATGCGTAGATTAGAGAAATCGTTTGTCTTTCAACCAGTACTAATCATGCTAATAAACACTGGTGTTTGAAATGTTTGTATTTTTAAAAGCACGTTCTGGCAAAGGTGTGAAATGACAAGCTGTTCACAGAC